TTTCTTGGATTCGTATGTTTATCGATGGTGTTTCATGGATTTCTCTAAGAAAAAACATAGAGTAGGGATATGATAAGAATAAACATGTAAAACATTAGGAAGCCTATAAAGGTTCGCACGCTGGGGCGTGCCACGTTGGATTTTACTTTTGCAGAAAAGCCCTTCGGTTTGTGTGTAATTCAATCGAGTACCCAGTGAAAAGTTCCTCTGAGGTGTCAATTCACGAATAGGCCCTTACATAAGTTAGATATTGCATGCGAAGGAGAGAAAATTCACGAATTAGGACCGCGCTCTAAAACGTGGAAGCCGAGGGGGTTTCTAGCAAACGACGCCCTAACCCACCCACCATAATCCTAGCCGCCGCCGCCGCTCACACTCTCTCCTCCCTCTCGTCTTCTCCTCTCCCTCTCCAGCTCCCGCCGCCGCCGCCTCATGCCGCCTCCGCCTCCCCCTCCCCCTCGTGCTAGAGGGATGAAGAACGTGTTTTATTATCAATTCTGACGAGTTAAAGTAATTATTTCCATGCTTTTAACATATCAATGCTCGTACTTAGTGTGATGTGTGGTGCACTAAGGATGTCAATAATCTAAGTTGGAAATTTCAAACCAGTTGTTTTATTTACCAATAGGCCACACTTTACACACTACTTGCTCATTGAGCAGTAGCTTATATGTTGGTATGTTAGCTGAGGATCTCATCGTTAGGCTGGTAAATATATTCTCTAGATTTGCGTCGCTTGAAATGTTTTTGTGGACAAATGCTGGTATTTTTCTTCTGTGCAAACCTTGGGGCCAAAACGTATACTCCCTGGTTCTCATTATATTTATTGATCCCTTTCCTTGCATGTTTGCAAAATTAGCGGTCTATTACCTTCCGTGCTGCTGAAATAATGTTCTCATGGTTTGTTAAAAATGGTGATAGTGATAGGGACCATGATCGTGACAGGGAGCACCGTGATAGAAGCAAAAGAAGATAACACCGTGATTATGAATATTCTCTTGATCATGATCTCCCCTTGGACCAAGATTCTGAAAGGTATTGCTTCTAAATTTCTAACCTAAGCAATTACTTGCAACTGCACAAAATATGGGTGTTTTTTTCCTTTATTAAATCTACTTATTTGATTGACTAATGTTTTCCTGATGCATTTATTTATTTTTATCAATTAGTGAATTTTCCCCTATGCGTGGGAATTCATGGTGATGCCTAATAATTATGAAAATTAGGTTGTATCCTTTCTGATAATAAGATTTAAAGTTAATGATATGTTCGATCTATCTGCTGCATACTACACTCTGTTGTGTTCCTCTCTTATATCGAGCATCTTATTATTAGTTTTAGAACATCTTAATATAACTGACAATTAATTGCTATAGCAATCATGCTGACAAAATCAGGTTAGTCCATAATTATCTCTGAGAATCTGATTAAAGCTGCCAGATGTTTAGCATATGAAGAAATTCAAATTCTAATGTCCCTGGCATTCATTCTCTTTTGATCTTTATATTGTTCATTTTTTTACCTTCTGTTTTACAACTGGATAGTGCAGTGGGTACTATATTGGCATTGCTCTCGGTGTACTGGAGCATTGCAACTAGCTGCTAATTATCTGATTGACTCATTAATGTGTGCTCAATTTTTCAGCCACTGTTTCTTAGTAGAAGAATTGGAATGTATATGTTTCTGAAATGAACTCTCCCAATTAACAAATTTAGAGGTGCATCCCCTTTTAAGTTGGTTCTTTTGTTTCCCTATCTATTAGGAGGGGGAGAAACCTGAATTAAGAGATGTTAGCGTGTAATTTCCCCCTGAAACGTATGTTAATCTAATTTTTGTCTAAATTTACTAAATGAATTAAACGCCTGGCCTCCATTACCTATCACTTATTTGGAAAATTCTGCAGTACCCTAGAGTGAAATGCAAGCATTGTGTTCATATGGGGTTTGTTGGCATATTTCAACTAAATCCAATTTTTAAATGCTACAGTGCTACAAGAGGCTAGAAAACAACAGTTGCGCTATTGTTGGTGACTGACATGAATCCATCGCCGCTCAATTTTAACAAAGTTGCAAAGAAGTTTCTAAGACAATAGGGGCTTTTTTTTGGCGCTGCAGGCTCTTGCATCACCCATTCATCTGTCATTACGGTTTTTGATGCACACTGCCTAATTAGTTGTTTTTATTATACTTGGATTATTTTTCTGACAGAACAAATCACTTCAGTTCCCCTCCTGCCAATGAGGAGTGTATGCTTATACAGTGAAAGTATTATGAGGTTTCATCAAGGTATTGTAATTTGTAAAACCAATACAAATGCTATGCTCAATAATTGTTTTGAAATTGCAATTTTTGATGAATCTTATGCTCAAAAGATGATTAAAATTATCTCCATAATGCTCAAGAGAATACAGATGGTTGTTTTTGTACAGAACTTAGATTTTATTATAAGCTGTTGTCTATCGACAATATCCATCATTTTATCAGTCTATCGACAATAGTAGGACGAGCTCTTCAGTCTAAATAACAGTTATATGTTTGCTGATGCGCCTCTTATAACTTTTGCTGCCATGACACTAGCCCCATGTCTCTTGCTCTTGATCTTCCTTTATGAGTCACTCCATCTAATTTGTGTTTGCTTCCTGATATTTTTGTAGATGCAACAACATGAAGATTGAAAAGGCTGCTGCCTGCAAGGTGTTTGAAATCACTGCCTCTGGAATTTAAATGTGTGAAAGTGATTGAATAGTTCTGAAAATTTATCCTTGCTTTGCTAGAAGATTGAATGGGCGGCTATTGGAGGAAGAAGAAGCATGCTACAGGGGTAATGACAAAGGTAGCAGGGTCCCTCTTTTGTGCTCATGGCATGTCAATTTATCCTTTCTGTTGATTTCGTGTCTAGACCAGAAATTTTTTAATTCCTACTTGAAATCATGCTAAAATGGTTTGGTATCATATCCAAGACCAAGCTTAAATCATCTTGTATATGGTTTCATCCTACATTTGTTGCTATGAAGAGTCAACACAAATGTTGATATTTTCCAAAAATCAACTGAAGCGTCGACTCTAAAATCAAGTTCTAGAAAAGAGTAAGAAGGATGTGCTCCGTCAAATAATAGAACTGTAAACTATAGAAACTAGAAGTCTTAAGGACACTACACTAACCCTAAAGTCACTCGTCATCATAAGCAAAGTGCAAATATTGTCTGTCTGGAGTCTGGACTCATCATTTAGGTGCTCTTTGGCAGGGCAGCAGCTGTATGTTTCAGCTTTTGAGTTGTCCTTAGAATCCATCTCATTGAGTAAGCGCACTTCAATTGAAATCTATAACTTTCTCGCATTCTGGGAAGTTCATTTTCTTATTGCCTGCAATTTTTGTAGCAACTACAGATACAACCATTGCTCACATCATGAAAGAACAAGATGATATCAAGATCAAATCCTCCAAGTGCTGGAATCAGATTCGGCCACCTGCTACACTGCTGACTTCAAACGGCCGCCGAATCTGCATACGACCTCCGTTTTCGGCCCATGAGTACTTGATGGAAAGCCCTCGGAGTCCTCTTTCCAACGGATCCAGCCTCATCGCCAAACTTCGTCTGGGACCCCGGCCCAAGTGGGGCCCATGTGGGGTGCGCCCCAACCAGGTGGATCATGACCCTAGGGTCCCTTTGGTCATCCTCCCACCTCCTTAAATAGCTAGCTACCCCTTCAGGGTTTCTCGGGTTTTGTTAGATTAAAGTTTAGCCATTACTACTTGCTTGCAGCACGCGTGTCGGCTAGACCGTCCGTCTGCTTGTTCTTCGGAACCCCAACTTATCATTTGTATTAAATTCCTATTTGCAATATCAGATTGTTTTTATCTTGTTCTTGCTTGTTTCTTCGATTTGCTTGCAGGAATAGTGTTGATTTGCACCGGCAAGATCAACAACCCATGGAGAGGTGTATCGATCGCTAAGGCGTAACACAACAACGTCTTATACGTTTGTAGTCGGGTCGTCAACGTTTCTCCCAAATCGTAGTTATCTCAACTCACCTAAAGATCGGGCCAAACAACAGCCTTGAGTGTCGAGTGGAACTCAGGGTCTTTCGGTGAGTTGAGATAACTACGATTTGGGAGAAACGTTGACGACCCGACTACAACCGTACAAGACGTTGTGTTGCGCCTTAGCGATCGATAATGTAACACCCCAGGTAGCCACATACCTAGAGTGCCACACCAAAATACACTAAAAAAACCACCAACTCCCAAAATTATTAGAAATTTCGGCAGAGTAACCTAAAAGTACGGACATCCATGACAGGCAGTTACAAGATAACTCAATAACGATATAAACCACACAATCCAACCCATCCTATCTCCACAAATTCCACGTGAAAATAAGGACCAGAACTTTAAATGACCTTCACAAGTTCTACGCAAAACTTATGCTAAGTAGAAACATAGTCTAAAAGTAAATTTCAATAGTGTGCAATAATAATGTGTAGTTCAAGGGTGCTACTCCCGTCCCATGCCAATCAATATCATTAGGTACCTAAAAACCAAATTAAATACAAGAGTGAGTAAAAATACTCAGCAAGTACAATATTGAACTAGTAAAACATACACAGGTTTAATGCAATAAGAAAACCAATATGAAATATTTGTCTTCCTTTAATTTAAAAGGAAGGAGGCAAAAAGTAGTAGTTCCCTCCCGGGCAGGTGTGAATATCCTCTTAGCATTACCGGTAAGCCGAGCAAGCGTGATCAGCGCTTCTCAAGGATCATGAATGAAGATCCAAATTGCACTCCCATGACTACGCATGGTACTTGAATAATGTAAACAAAAACTTCCAGAATAATGAAACATGAATAACGTCGTGAATTTGAACATGAAGTGAAATATGAATACGTAACATAATACTAAAATCACACAATTGATTATAGGAAGGTTCGAATAATAATTGGATAAATGAAACCAAATAAAGTAACACAGTTTATCTATCACACAAGTCCATCTTGTACTTGCCTTAACTCCTTCAATAATCCGACTCAACTCCTCCAACATTGGAACCCTCCACACCTGTGGAGCAAAACTACGCATAAACCACTATATCTAACTAATAATAGTTACAAGGATATTTACTAAAATCGAAACCCAGTTCATATAAATTATTACCGATTTGTATTAAATAGCCTATAGCTGTTCCATTACTGTTTTATACGTAACGTACAAACCGTCTAATGGAACCTAGCAAATAATATAACTTCGGACATCTAGACAAAATTGTCTACCACTTTCATGTTGAGTCCTGATTTCCAGACCCGGTCAGCAGTACTGTTTTTGTTGTTTCTCCCAAACCGTTTATCGGAATTGAGTGAAACCAGCGGCGTTAGAAAGATATCGACGATGACTACAAACTTTATTTATGACAACTAACCTGAATCACGATGGTTTAATACCAGATTTGAAAATACTATTGTTAGCCCATAATCAACAACTAAGAAAACACTGAACCGGCAATTTAATCGATTCCCACGTGAAAATTGTATTTCTATGGACTAAGAGGAGTTACACTTGCTGAGGAGAAATCGAATTTGAGATCAATTTGTGAATACCCAGAAAATCCCCAACTTTTGCCTCTCTTTCCTTTTTCCTTCTTTTCTCCTGCTTTCCCTGCTTCTTGAAACTCCTGCTCTCTGTTCGTTCCAGAAGCACAGCAACAGACCAGCATCAGCAGCAGCAGCGAGGAACGTTAACAGAAACAGCCGTAACATGGATACATATCAGATCGATGGCAGCAGCAGCAGCAAGGATTGGCGGCAACACTCACCAAGGAGTCGAGCAGGAGTGGCGCTGGACGGCGATGGCTGAACCTGCGGCGACGGCGCAGCAGCCATTGGGGTGATGGCGACTAGGGTTTGTAGCGGCTGCAGGGTTATCGATCTCTTCCCCTTTTCTCTTTTTTTCTTTTTTTTTCAGTTGGTTAAATAGATATCCTGATGAAGATCGAACGGCCCAAATTAATTTAATCACCAGTACTTCATTCGGACTCCGATTATTATAAACTCATAGTCTATTTTGCACTACTCGGCGAGCTCTACGCATCCATGGTTCCTGATCGCCTATTCGAACAATGGTTTAAAAATTGAACGGCGTTTGTGCTAATATTCCCCGAAATATACTATTTTGAAACTCGGGGCATTACATTCTTCCCCCCTTCAATCGAATTCGCCCTCGAATTCGCCCAACCAAACTCTAGAACACGGGGTATTACATTCCTCCCTCCTTCAATCGAATTCGCCCTCGAATTCGTCCAGTTATTCCTCGAACAAGTATGGAAAGGAACTCATAGGTAGGACTTATATAACTCACCAGGCGTGAATAACTCTGGCTACTTCTCCCGCATCTATGTCTCAAGTTCCCATGTGGCTTCTCGTTCGGTCTTGTGCGTCCAAAGAACCTTGACATATTTGATAGTTCTGTGCCTCAGCACCCTCTCAGATTCCTCCAATATTCTTAGTGAACGGGACTCAAATGTCAAATCTTGGTCAATGGTCACCGGCTCTACGGTAATATGATGTTCAGGGTCTCTCAAATATTTTGTCAACATGGAAATATGGAACACATCATGTACACCTTTCATGGACTCTGGTAACTCGAGGCGATACGCTAGGATTCCAGCTATTTCCACTATCGAGAATGGACCAATATACCTACGGCTGAGTTTGCCTTTCGTTCCAAATCTCACAACACCTTTGGTAGGAGATACCTTTAGAAGTACTTGGTCACCCACTTCAAACTCTAATTCCCGTCTTCTGACATCAGCGTAGCTCTTCTGCCTACTTTGAGCTACGAGCATGTGTTTTCGTATTTCTGCTATCCGTTCTGTGGTTTGTTGAACCCAATCGGGTTCTAAAACAGCTCTCTCCCCTATGGAATCCCAACACAATGGGGATCGACACTTTCTTCCATAAAGTGTCTCATAGAGTGCCATTCGAATGCTAGCATGGTAAATGTTGTTGTAAGCAAATTCTACAAGCGGCAAATGATCCTCCCAACATATCCTCTAGAGTTTGAATAGTCCACTCAGATTGACCATCAGTATAAGGGTGAAAAACCGTACTGAATTTCAATTATCAAATGCCTCTTGCACAGATTCCCAGAACTTAGAAGAAAATTTAACATCCCTATCAGAAACAATCGAGCGAGGCACACCATGTAACCTCACTACCTCGCGTGTATAGATCGGTGCCAAGTCACTCGCAGAATAAGTGGTGCGGATAGGAATGAAATGTGCCACCTTACTCAGACGATCTATAACCACCCAGATGGCGTCCTTTCCTTATGAAGTTCGAGGTAGCCCAACCACGAAATCCATAGCAATATCATCCCAAGGCCATACAGGAACTTCCAATGATTGTAACTTTCCAGCAGGACTCTTATGTTCAGCCTTTACTCGCTGACATACCCCACATGATGGCACGTACTTTGCCACATCCACTTTCATCCTCTTCCACCAATAGATCTTCTTCAGATCATGATACATCTTGGTCTCGCCAGGACGCACAACATATGGTGTTCGGTGTGCTTATTGCAAAATCTCTTCCTTGACTTTAGCTTACTGTGGGACACATAAATGCCCATGGAATCGCTCAACTCTCGAGGACTCCAAAGTGAAATCTCTAGTTTTTCCTTCCTTTACACGTTTCTTAACTTGTTGTAGCAACCGATCGTGTTGTTGGGCATCTAGCACTCGTTGTGGTATGACAGACTCAAGAATGACTCGTGACTCGGTACTCGCCACTCCGGCGTAGCAATAGGAGATACCCATCCGTTCAAAATCAATTATCAAACAATTCACAGTTGGAGGAACGACCTTACGGCTTAGAGCATCTGCAACCACATTCGCCTTACCCGATGTATACGGAATGTTGAGATCATAATCTTTTATTAACTCCAGCTACCTCCTCTGCTTTAAGTCGAAATCCTTCTGAGTGAAAATGTTTTGAAACTATTATGATCAACAAAACTATCACAAGACTCTCCGTATAGGTAGTGCCTCCAAATCTTAAGAGCAGAGACCACTGCTGCAAGCTCAAGATCATGAGTGGGGTAATTCTGCTCATGCTTCTGTAACTGCCTAGACGCATAAGATATAACATTGCCCTCTTGCATAAGAACACAACCAAGGCCTACTCGTGAAGCATCGGAATAGACAGTGAAACGCTTACCAAGGTTGGGGCAAAGTAAGCACCGGAGCAGTTACCAGCCTCTACTTCAATTGCTGGAAACTATGCTCACATTGGTCCGTCCATTGAAACTTCACACATCCTTATGTGCGAGCATCGTCATTGGTTTAGCGATAATTGAGAAATCCTTCACGAAGCGTCGTTAGTACCCTGCCATACCCAAAAAGCTCCTCACATCCTTAACATTAGTCGGCCTTTCCTACCCGACAACACTTGAAACTTTGCTAGTATCAACTGAGATACCCTGCTGATCGATTACATGCCCTAGGAAAGTCACTTCAGGAAGTCAAAATTCACACTTCTTTAATTTAGCATAGAACTTGTTTTCCTGTAAACTCCCTAGCACCATCCTCAAATGACACTCATGCTCCTCTACATCTTTCGAGTAAATCAGAATATCATCAATAAACACCACCACAAACTTATCTAGAAAGCTATGCAACATGCTATTCATCGCCTCCATAAAATAGGCCAGAGCATTGGTCACCCCAAAAGACATAACTCTACACTCATAATGCCCATACCTCGTGGAAAATGCGGTCTTCTCAATATCCTCTTCTCGCACTCGAATTTGGTTATAACCAGATTGCAAGTCAATTTTAGAAAACACCTTTTACTCCCTTTAACTTATCAAACAAATCTTCAATATGAGGCAATGGGTACTTGTTCTTGATTGTCGCAGCATTTAAGGCCCGATTGTCCACACACATACGACAACTCCCATCCTTCTTCTCAGTAAAAATAACAGGTGCACCCCATGGCGACACACTCCGTCGGATTAACTTCTTGGATAATAGATCATCTAACTGTTTTTTTTCAACTCTTCTTGGAAAGGACGAGCTAACCGGTACGGGGCTCTAGAGATCGGTCGTGTACCAGGAACAAGATCAATACAGAACTCTACATCACGCTCAGGTGGCATCCCTGGAAATTCTACGGGAAAAATATTGGGATAAACTTCGTTCGGACTCCGATTATTATAAACTCATAGTCTATTTTTCACTACTCAGCGAGTTCTACGCATCCACGGTTCCTGATCGCCTATTCGAACAATGGTTTAAAAATTAAACTTTTGCACGTTTGTGCTAATATTCCCCGAAATATACTATTTTGAAACTCGGGGCATTACAGATACACCTCTCAGAGGGTTGTTGATCTTGCCGGTGCAGATCAACCCTATTCCTACAAGCAAATCGAAGAAACAAGTAAGAACAAGATAAAAGCAATATGATATTGCAAATAGGAATGAATACACACGATAAGTTGGGGTTTTGAATACAAGCAGACGGACGGTCTAGCTGACACGCACGCTGTAAGGAAGTAGCAATGGCTAAACTTTCATCTAAACAAAACCCAAGAAACCCTGAAGGGTACCTAGCTATTTATAGGTGTGGGAAGATGACCAACGGTGCCGTAGGGTCGTTCTCCACCAGGTTGGGGTGCACTCCACATGGGCCCCACTTGGGCCGGGGTCCCAGACGAAGTTACAAGCCCATAGGCCTATTACAGGTGATGCAACACCTTGTTTCTTCAATTGCGGCTCACTAAGATGGAATTTCGCAATGAGGTTGGATCCGTTGTAAAGACAACTCCGAGAGCTTTCTATCAAGTACTCGTGGACCCAAAACGGAGCTCGTATGCATATTTGGCGGCCATTTGAAGTCAGCAATGTAGCAGGTGGCCGAATCGAATTCCAGCTTTTAGAGAACTTGATCTTGATGTCTTCTTGTAGATCCATGATGTGAGCAATGGTTGTATCCATAGTAGCCATGGTCACATTATCCTCCCCTTCTTCATGGAAAAACGTCCTCGGTTTTTCCATGTGGTGCTCTTCACGTAGTCCATTTAAAACAACCTGTTTCTTCCAATCAAAACAAGGCAAACTCGAGATAATTTGGTTAGCATTAACATTCCTCTCTAGCTTGTATGTTTTATCCACATGTACAAGAGGTTTCTAAATCCGAACATATGTAAACTCTATGCACCAAATATATTCCAACATCATTATATTCACCAAAGATATGAAAAATAGCATTAGTTGGACATGGCAAATTAGATTTAGCAAATAATTTCTCCTTCAAATTTTCAAGCTCACAAAAATCATCAAACCGAACATACCCAAAGTATTTAAAGAAGATAGCAATTCACATTCCTCTATTTCATTAGCAATGTGAACAACATGCTTAAAATCAACACACAAAGAAACAATAGAAATAGCATCTTCTTTCACCAGTTGTGGCATGGATATAAGTGAAGCATTATCACACAACTCTTCTTTATCACAAGGAACAGCAAGTAAATCAACTTGTGATAAAGGCATCTCAGCAATTGGTTCCACTAATGGTTGCTCTTCTCTAGTATGAAAAGTGGACATGTTCAATTAATTAACGGCACAGTCACCTTGATTAATTGCAGCACCATTAAGTTTACCTTTTATGCCACTTCAGATAATGTAGGTGCATCAGTCTTCTCTTCTGTCTTCGTGAGCGATGGAGATGGCATCTCGATCATATTGCTCTTCTCCTCATGGTGAATGTTCTGAGCTCCCTGCAAAATGTCAGTAATAGGAGGCACAAGCATAGCTTGTTTCTCCCTTGGGTTCTTTAAAATATTGCTCTCAACACTGCAAGCAAGCATGAACAAGTGGCCTATATGATTATATGTCACATTAATAAGCCTAGCTTGAATATCGGAATTAAGCCCTCTAAAAAATCTAGTCATTGTGT